TTTTTTTTTTTTTTTTTTTTTTTTTTAAGCTCGAACAAAGAGCTGAGAATCTCGTGAGTGTACCGCTCTTGTTGTTAGTCCCGAATTCTAGATTTTCACCCATGTCGGCTCTCCTATACCAAACACCGTCCGCCTGAAACCTCGACATTCTCACCCACCCACAGGCCAACTGTACTACGTCGTGCACCTTTAGATCCTTAAGATAGGACAGCCACAGCCGTAGATCGCGATACAGGATAGTTAATTAGCGCATAGAGGAAGTACACCTAATAAATGATGCATTATACACATACCTATTATATATACCTATACATGGTGTTACTACCGGAAATACTTGAAGTAACGTTATTATGGATATTCATATATATATTTAGTATATACTTATACATACATACGTACGTACATATATTATATATACATATACACGTTAGCGACGTACGTCGGTGGTATACTGGCATTGATATTTTTATGGTTTTAAAAAAAATACAACAACAAGAACAAATATTAGTGTCAGAAAGAGCGACAGAACGAAAGAGAGCGAAAATGTGAGCGTGAGTGAGCGAGAAATAGGAGTGAAAGAGAGCGAGAGAAAGAAATATCGGTTGGTCGGTCGAAGCGCGGAAAAATGAAGCGCGTGTACATAAACGAAACATTGAAACGGAAGATACGGATAAACGGGATAAAATAAATAAGGGGAGCTCTTATAAGCGTGTTATTACAAAAGGTGATTCGTTTTATCCTTAATGCGTGTCGAAGGATGGTATGCGAATATTACTATTGTTATCGTTGGTAATCGTTGGTCACACGAAGCGGTGATTTCACAAACGTACACACAACATACACATAGAGATAGACAATAAATTCTGTTCTTTAATTAAGTAACACGCATATAGTTACATTGCGTTGTTCGGCTCGACCGCTGGGTAGGTAAGCTACAGATCTGCGAACACCATATAACGCGATTAGAATTTGGGAAAGGTTATTTTCAGAGAACTCGATGTGCTTACCTAATTATGCGATCGTTCTTTTTGGCTGCCTCATGCCGTTGCCTTACGGTGAAAAGATTAATATTTGCCATAAAAAATGGAAATTTTCATAAAACGTTGCAGCTTCTTAACATTTCGATTGCTTCGATTTTAAGTTTCATCATTTTTGTCTAATATTTTTCCCCTTTTCCGCTCTTTCATCTTTTCTTATTGCCGATGAAAGTTAAGCTCTGGGTTGAATACGTTCGATCTACGTTTTCAACCGTCTGACATTGGCGTGATGCAAAGCTACGCACAACGTAATTGAAAAAGCCGCGGACTATGCAAACTGCAAAAAGGAGGATATAAGGAAACTATAACATGCAAACATAAAACAAGACGCTTCGACAGTTACAACATAAAAAGAGCTCTATAAGTCGACAAAAAATAGTAATGTATAACGTCCCGAAGACAATATCTTTAACGATTTTATTAAAGGAAGCTATTCGAGATTTACCTCGAGAGAAGGCCTACGTTTTGCCACGTGTGTCCGAGACGATAGATCGTAGAAAGATTGTCAAAGAAAAAGAGAGAGAGAGAGAGAGAGAGAAAGGGTGAGAGCGAGGATGAAATGATAGAGAAACGAGAAGTTTTATGATGCAGGAGTTACGAGAAAGGTGCTGTTTAGTTTAAACATTGTCGATCTTTTTCCTTTACAATTATTATGCTTTTATCCTACTTGAATCAGTGCACTTTCTGTTACATCTATTTTGCAAACACTCAAATCCTTTCCCTTTTAACTTCTCTACATACTTCGTTCATTATACACTGATTTCACGGACTATATGATATTTTTGTTGAAAGATTGCGACGAATGGATCGATTCATTTGGATTTATGAGATGCACGAAATTTCACTGCACCCCATGAGTTATTATTTCGACTTTCCGTCTTAGAGGAAAATTATCTATAAGAATATCAACAAATGCTGAACACAAGTACAAGGAATCGTCAATATCTGTATATATCACTCCCAAAAATCGTAGCCGAATCAGAGACCTTGAGATCGCTGGGTCGATCGCCACATTGGTTCGAGCATGGAATAAAAGAGAAACTTGCAATTCTCCATTGGGAGTGTTTTCAGTTTGCAAGGCGACACTAAACGCACACTTGTCACGCGCGCTGTAATAGGTACCTCTTTCATTAATACAGATCACTCACGGTCTCACTAGGTCTCTGATTGCCTGCACGGTTCTTTTACTTGCGAACTTATCTCGCCATAAATCTCTGTGGCAATAAATATCCTACTTTCCCCCTCCCGGAAGATGCATTAACTCCGCTTTGCAAATCGCACTATGCAAGAAATCCTTTTGATTAAACCTCCGAGTACAGAGCTGTTTCTGATATGCCTTTAACCCTTAAAAGCTATTATTATGAAAGAAAAATTTCACCCTGGTAGATCTTTTTTATTTTAAGAATCAATAAATTCAACGATACAAATTAGTAAATCGATAATTTTTTATTACTCGATGTTAGACGAAAAAAGGGAAAAGATTATTGTTCATAACGATTATAAATAACATTGCGAGATACAGAAACTAGCATGGTCATTAAATTTGATCAATGATAGCTTTTAAGCGTTAAAATATTTGTTTCACGCGGGTGTGGCGACAAGTATTATAACGACAGACAGCCCAACCCTATCATGATTACCGAAAAGTATTTTTATAGAATACTCTTCGAGCCAGATATTTACATCGCGTTATATTCTATTCTATATATTATATTACATTAACATCAATGTATACGTGCGTGTACAAATTGTATATCATATTATATCATCCTATTCTGCTGGCAGATTTCATTGTAGTTATTATGCGTCCGAATGACGAGCCGGCAACGTTTGTATTCGTCGCGAGACGGCAATTATGCGTTAAATTGATTATATATAAATCGTCCTTAAGAGGAATATGCAAGTCTTCCTTCATTTTAATCTGCACTATTCGAAGTTGGAGGATGTTCGTAGGATTTAGTTGTACGGCGTACCTGCTGATTGCGTTGTGTCCTCTGAGGGTGTGTGTTACTTCTACCCGAAATTATTTCCGGATAAAATCGCTCAACGACGATATTCTGTGTGTTTTTTGAACACCCGATAAGTCGAAATATTGATTCGCCTAATCGTGGTCGTGCAAATCTGTAGATCAGAGCCGCGACACGTTAGAGAAATACTCGAAGACTAATCTAACTGAATAAGCCGTGTTTTGTTTTACGATGAACGTTTCGAAAATTCTAAGAATAATTGTAAAAGTTCCACTTCATTTTATACTTGACAAATTTTTTTACGAAATTATAAAAAATTTATCTTTGCTTGTTTTATTCGTATCGATCCTATGGTACTAATAGAATTTGAGAATGGCGTGGCAACACGAGATGTTCGAAATAGATACGCTTGTGTGTTATAATTTATATTGTGAACATGTGTCTATATTTTAAACGAGTAGTTGCGTTTACGTCGGAAGTAGACTGCGAGCGAACCGTAACATTTTCATAGAGGTTTGATACAGCCGAAGTTAAAATTGTTATAGTCGAGAGTTGCATAGGATCCCTTTGTTTCAGAAAGATCGAGAGAATCTCAAAGATCCAGATTCTATGGATTAATTTCATCTGTCCTCTTCCTAAAATCCTATGCATTTCTTCGAGTCCTTCGCTTTAGTTGATTCCAGTTGTTCTAAAGTTTGCTAAAGTTTCTCAAAAAGTTTGTTCAATACTCGCAGTACATTATAAACAATGTCCGTAATCGAACTTAAGGAACGCGTGCTTGTGGCTTTTTACGAACAATGTGAAACCGGAGCCACATGAAGAATGATCAAGGACCGCGTAAAAGAACAGGGGAAACGAAAACTAGTTGATATCAAACGAGTTGAATGATGCAAAGGTAATCAAATAAATATATGTACATTGCTAGATACGAAAAAAAGAAACCTCATTAACTTAGGTGTATAATAATTGTAATCGTTAAATAAGTGTAACTATGTTGTACTAGTCATGAGACCGTCTCGTATCTTGATAAGCAACAGTAAGTCGTTGTACTCGAGAGATTCGGACTGTTGTTACGACGAGGCGGTTTCTCGGATCGGTTGTTTGTTAGTGTAATTAAATATATATATATTTTTCATCCATTGGCTGACGTAAAAGTACCCGCGCTTCGCAATGAGATCGAGAAAGATTATGAAGAATGATTTAAATAAAAAAAAAAAGACAAGTGAACCGATTGCGTGCATTACTCGCAAAAAATTATAAAAATCGAAGCGTTTAGATACCGATTGCATCGTTGAAGCCCGGAAGATTCACGATTCGTTGATTAGAGAATTTCTTGATCGAGAAGATTTGG